TCAGTTTTTCCAACACCCTGCTGGTTCACCAGGTGTGGTGATGCTAAAGTGTTATGTAAGTGCTTAATCACAATGACACAGAAATATCTGGTAGTCAATTTACAATAATTAGAATAAACGATGTCCTCATTCTTGTCTAGTGTGTGATAGTAAAACACCACAAAGCTGCCAGATGGAGCGATTACAGGTGCGTTTGTTTGCTGTGTTCAAATTAGTATTACGTTAGCAGGTAGTAAGGAGTCTGTTCAACACCCAGCTCCTGCTAGACTGCACCAACATCTGCATCACTGCATAAAGCTTTTTCATTAAAACAATACATACATGTATATGTATAAATATAAAGGACAACTTGATGTGCATGAATAGATTTGCAAGGTCTGCGTAATTTTACCTTTGAGCTGTAAAAGTTGCCAGTGCTGCCAGTATTTTTTAAATGTATATTTTCAGCTTTTTTGAGTTTCCTCTAAGTTGGGCGGGTTTAATGGAACTTGAATATGTTCTTCCATCAGCGCAAGGTCCAGTTCAGTGACGTCAGGGTCAAATAGGCTCAGCAGGCAACTAAAGGATTGACAGAGAGTATTTGGAAAAGTGTGACCTGTGAGTGATGATCCTGCAGAACAGGCAGATTTCTTTGTAGGATGATGAAAACAAAAGCATCACACACAATTCCTGCTATAGTTATAAAATGCTCGTGTCTTGTTTTGAGTAAGTATTTTCTAACAAGAGTCAAATTTAAGCATTAAATCCCATCTAAGAAACAAGAGACTCTATGTTGTTGTTTTGCTAATTATGCACTCTGTATCCTCAATCAGTGCATCAAAAAACAGCACATACTGCTACTCATGTCTGCACCATGTCAGCATCCAGTTTTGTCCTGAAAAATTATACTATTATTGTTCACCTTACTGCTTGCAGTTCTGTGCTTGAGATTCAAATGGATGACTGCTTCCAAGCAGGCTAATCGCAGTGGCACATCTATCGATGGGGGCCAATCCCATTAAGCTGTAGAAGGTGTAGCCCTGCTTTGTGCTCAGTACCTTCATCTCTGATCTGTTGACGAGATTACTCGCAGAGCCTCAGATCAACCTGAGAGTAGGAGTGTGCTATGTTACATCACAGTCCAGAAAGGGTGAAATATAATGCAGCTTTGCCTCTCTTTAATTTGCCTGACTGAAACTTTGCCAACATAACAGTTGCAGATCATTTTATTATTATTTTATGGCATAGATTCTGAAGTTCTGATTCTTCTTGGTAAATCTGCAGCTTTGGATTGCAGAGCTCCAAACACAATCAAACTTGCTAAATAAGCAGGCAACTAACAGGATCAGAGACCTCTGTGAAATTGGCCATGTGCTCTTAAAACCTTGGAAAAATCCGATCGCTCTTCTGATAGGAACACACTAGCATTTCATTTGTAATGAATCGTCTTTACTCTCCTGAGTGTGAAATCCTCAGCAGGATCCATTACAGGAGGTTCCACCCACTGATGAGCTCATGAGGTTGAGTCTACAAGCTTTCTCACAAGCCTGCAAGAAAAATAAGTGAACTCCCACTCATGACACTGGGAACCGTGTCATGATGCACAAGATGGTATAGTAATCCTCACTGATGAGCAATCATGCAGCAAGCTTGATCTCTATAGAAATTGTATTAATTTATCTTTTAAGTGTGCTCTATGATATTTTACATAGAGAGATTTTTTTTTTGCAAACTTGCATGTATAAATAAGGAATGTCATCTCCTAACTATCCCACACACACACACACACACACACACACAGCTGATCCTATGCAGTTTTTATGGCTCATAGCTCATGTGTTTACATTTATTGTCTGAATATGTCGATAGTCTATAATTTTGCCTTGCCTATATAGATTTTGTTTACATTTGTTTTGTATTTTTGAGATCAAATTTACTGTAAATATCTAGTGTGTGTCTGTGTTTATGTCATGTGATGCATTAGCAGCACATGCAGGGCGCATGCTGGGATACTGAGCCTCGCTGTGACATTAAAAACACCCTGATCCAGTTTCTCTGCTTAAACTCATAGCTGTATAGGTGTGTCATTGCAGTATCGATGGAGGCCAGATCAGTGCATAACAGACAGATTAGCAAATGATACAAAAAGACAGCAAAGGCTTTCTCTCTGAGTACTCTTCACAGCATTAGTAAGACACATGGTGTGACCAATAACTTCCCCTAAACTGGACAACTATAACAAACTTGGCTTGTAAGGTGGCACCTCCAACAGCTTTGTTTGGCTATAAAACATCATCATGACGGTGTTAACGGTCTGCTGTGGGCTGTTTTTTCAACATTACAAAAATAATGAAAGAAGAGCTGATACTAACAAGAACAAGTAAATGTTTCAGGAAAGCTTCTTGGGCTCTCATTAGAAAGCTGAATGGGAGCAGGACGTTTCTAAATACGCCAGCAAAAAGGACAAAGTGGCTTAGGGATGTGAAGCTAAATGTCCTAAGTGGCTTGTTAGAGCCCTGACTTTAAGCCAAATAAAAGACTGTCTATGTGTGCAAAGCCAGTAGACAGGGATGCCTGCAGTTAAATTTGACTGTACAAAATAATATGAAATTGGGCAACTAATTATGTCTCAATGCAGTTTTTCATTGTTTATTTCTACCCCCTTCCCACCGTGAGCAAAGTGGACAAATATAGCTGGAAGAAATATATTCTGTGAGTGTTGAGTTCAGTCTGTGTGTGGGGAAAAATTATACTTTCAATTTTCGAGTTTCTGTATTAAAAACAGTCTGCTGTTTTTTTTCTTGCCCTTCGAGCAGTTTCACAGTTTCACCACGGGAGGGCGCTGACTCCAAAGTGCACCTTCCTCCTCTTGCAGGCATCAATTATTGTGCGTCCAGATCAATTCAGGTCTAATTTTATACACTTACAAGTCAAGAAATGTGCATCAAATATCGGCTTGCCACAGAAAGATAAAACTAAGCTGTCTTCCGGCAACATAAAAAGAGGAAATCTTATGACACCCCTGTTTCAACCAAGGTCTTGATTGTTGTCAGCAGTAGTTACACGCTCAGGGATGAAGGAGAAACAGAAAAGACTTCCAGCTGTCAGAGTTTTCCAGCTGTGTTTATAGACAGACCTCATATCCGACTGTGCTTTATAATCAGAAAACGTTCAATCCTATTATTCCAGTACCAATATGAACATACACATTTTCTGTTTCTGTGTAATGATGTGAATTAAAATATAGTACACTGACGTCATGTAAATCCCTCTTTAATCGTACACAACGATTTTCCTCCCACGTGTTTTTTAGTATAATGCATCAAACGCGTTCACTAAATGTGGTCTTTTTAAAGCTTCCCTTGAGCAACCCAGCAAGTTGTTTTCCAAGAAAATAATTCACCCCACCTCAGGGTGCTTTGTTACTGCTGTCTCTAATCGCACCTCGCTGGCTTATAAGAGATGAAAGTTACAATAATCAAGTGATAAAAATAAATGGGGTGATAAATTTTCATACACCAAATGTTTTCCTGGCTCCAGCTTCAGTTAATGAGGATTTGCTGCTTATGTTACAGTAAATCGAATTTATTTGGCGAAAACGAGTCATTGCGAGCCTTACACTGGGATTCAAGCTGTTTGGTGACGTCACCATCATCAGGACATTAAGTTTTGAAGTTTTTATTCTCCTGAATGAAAGTAGGCACTTAAAATTGTTTCACAGCAAAGATATGAACTCTCATTTATTGCTTAACTTAAAACAGTCGTCCTGTGGCGAATCAACAATGGCGCAATTAATCTTTCTCATAATACCCATGTCATTGTGCTGATTGTGCTTCAGTGGCACCTGAAAAAATAGTCTGGGTTAAACTAAAATAAGAGTAAATGAAAAATGGCCGTTTTCTTTCAGAAATTACATGACAATTCACCTAAAATGAGAGATACCAACATCCTGATAATGTACTCTCACAAGTTAAATTTGGAGTGTTTTACCTAATCCGAGGATCTTTTTGACCTACGTGGAAGAGTCCATTTCCTCAAACAATTGAAGGACTGCGCGGAATCCGCGCGTCTCTCTCTCTCCCTGCAGTTTGCAAATAAGGACATAAATCCGAGCAGAGTTTTTACGGTTATGGTTACAGATGCTCTCCACGTACCTACACTAAGTGTAATAAGCATTTGTATTTTTTGTGAAAAGAAAAGAAAAATCCCAGTATTCATCATAATAATGAGTGTTTAATTCATTACTTGGTAACTGTTCAGTCTCTGCCCTAAATTGTAAAGACTGCGAAGATAACAGGTGGTTTGCAAAAACAGAGTGAGTAGAATTGACTTTTACTACTTCAGTTTTGCTATAACCACAACTTTTCTCCTCGCTTGCTTGCCCACATTTAGATTTGTGGTTGCTATGGCAACAGCAGGACTGCGCAATAGTGCTGAGCGTTGTTGTACTCAGTGTGCATGTAAATGGCGCATGGCGTGCTGGGGGTGGGCCTCTCCATCACAACCCCATCCTCCATCAGTGCTGCAGCTCAGGCACGGGAGTCTTTCTGAGGGGGCGGGGACTGTTCCGATGCAGAGGGATGCTCCGCAGCCCCACGCTGCACCAACCACTCTGGAAATCCCTGCTCACATCCACACACACGAACACGCTGACTGGCACCGACTCCCTCAAACTCCCAGCATCTGTGCTCCATCCTTCCTCTCCTCTCCTGTCTGTCCCCGGTCTCCTCTCTTGTCCTCTCTCACTGTGTCTCTTATCGCCGCTCCGTCAGCCGCAGCTCTGACTCACTCAGCTCTTCTTTTCCCAATTTGAGCCAGCGAGACCCGGGAACATGTCCTCCAACCTGACCTCCGGGAACTCAGCCGGGGGCACAGGGGCCAAAAACAAGCCCTTGTCTCCCTTCAGGAAGAGGGGAAGCCTGCAGTACACAGCCAGCACAGGTGAGTGGTGGCAGACTGGAACTGCAGAGGGAGGACGGTTTGAGCATCCTGATCTTGTAACAGAAGGAGGAATAATATGATCTGAAGCCAGGGGGATTAGCCCTGTACTATGTATATTTAGGTGATATTAGATTATTCTATTTTAGAAAACAAGAAAAAACTCATGAAAGAAGAATCTTTGGTAATTACTTTTTCTTCATAAGTAGTTGGGAAATGCAAACCTGTTGATTAGAGCAGTGCAGCAGAGGATGCTTTGGATGCTCTGCGGGGGATTTTGCCTTCATACCTTGCAGTTTAATGTCAGCATTCTGGCTTCTAGTTTTGCCCTTCAACTCTTATTTTCCAGCTTCATTTTAGAACACACACAACATGCATCAGCTGGATCATCCAAAGTAGATTTACAGTATGATCGGCTGCTGCTGTATGGAGCAAATTTGATGTTGCATAACTTGTTGTTGTTAGGTGAAAACCGATGTTTTGCCTGTTTTAGCCTAAAGGGTTACAGGCTGTTTGACAGGTTGGAAGTGCTTTATATTGTTGCATGCTTTCGAAACATATTGCATGCAGTGAAAAAACAATTTTAGTCCCTGTACAGCATGTATAATTAGTCTTCTCCTTTAAGAAACGGGATAGGATGCTTAGATAAACAGCAACAGCGGTGTTTTTCACTCAGCCCCATGGTGGTATGTAGCCTGCAGAGAATATGTAAGTTGGTACCTCAGGACCTGATCCCCCACTGAATGAGAGGATTAGCCTCCCTTCTGATGTATGCACACACTGGTCAGGCTTTCACTGAAACTACAAAGAGTATACAATGACCAAAAGATCAAATAGCAGCTATTTCTGTTCATTAGTCTTCTTTGAAATGCAAAATATTTTCATTCAGTTACAGTTACGTCATGCAAATGGTGATATAATGAAAGATCACACTTAGACCTTATGAGTTGTTTATAAGGAATCAAACACCTCAGTGTCATTCAGAACTATTGTCAGTCTTTGTTGGTCATCTGTTTTTCAGAGAGAAAGAAAAATACGCAAATATTAAATAATTTCACCCCACCGCAGGTTTTTGATTCAAGAAAATGAACTGAGCCATAGATAACTGTATTTAAATGGAAGAAGACGCCCGAGTCTCGATGTTATTTCATTTGGAGGAAGTAATATAGTCTTTCCTCACTGGAATACATTTGAGAGTTTGGTATGACATAATGCACACACAACATGTTCTTAAAAAATATACTGCGTCTTTAAAAAAAGCTCCTTCAGATAGGTCATGTCACCACTGGGGATAGACAGCAGCATGCTATGACGCTACGATGATTGGCGAGGTAGTTAGGGATTGATTTTCAACCCTGACAATAAATGCAACAGCAGGATGTCTGAGGGATTTGTCAGCCCCCCTCCCTTCCAGTCAAAATGCTCCCTGTAATTATCCTCATTTGCTGCTCCAAAATTGCCTTCTTGTTGGAAGAAATCATTGAAGAGAAGCAGCACTGGCAGAAACAGGAAGCGCAGGCTGTCTCTGCCCAATACAGATTGAGTACTGAAGCCTCCGGGGTTTGATTTAGAAAGTCTCCACAGAGGCGCATTAGGACAACATCACATTTGATGTTGTTAAAGCATCCAGGGAACCTTCTGAGTAAGCAAATATGACATTTAAGTGACTCATTTTTGTTTTTTCAAAAGGACGCCCTCTAGTTCACACCACTACAGTACACTGCAGTCTGTATAAGATGGAGTAAAAATAAAAAGGTTGCAGGTTAGCGAGAGTGTGACTATATTAGATGTTCTATTTGAAGAATTACTAAGGTTTTTAATAATGCTCCAGCTGCTTATTAGAGATCATAAATTCAAGATTGTGTGCTTGCTGCTCTGCTGAATGGTTGTTTAAGCTGATATTCCCCATGCTGGAAGAGCTTTTATCTTATTAAATCCAGCAGAGCGGAATAAACAGAACTAAATGAATCTCTCACAGATTAAATTTCTTCAAGGGTTGTAAAACCTCTGTACACATAATACCCTGTACCATGTCCATCAGGCAGAAAGGCTGTGGTGTAGCATATGCTGTGCAGTGAAACTCTTCAAAAATGTGCAGGATTTGTGGAGCGAACCTCGGCAGAGAGAGAAGCAGTAGGTGAATCACTTCTGTGGCTGTGAAAGAGCCAGTGCCGATATTAGACCGACACCCACTCACCAGTTTGGCTAGTCCATGCTGTGCGCTGTGTTCCACTTGTTGAACCACTTAAAACAGTGCAAATAACATGTAGCAGTGGATGTTTATTCACAGATTCGCAATAATTGATTAGCTATCGTTATCTTCAATACAGCAGCTGTCATATAAACGCAGTGAAGGGTCAGAGTTAGGGCTGGAAAAGGCATTCTAGCACTTTGGAAAGGCAGAGCAGCATAAAAAAAAAAAATCAAACACAATTTCAAGTATTACAAAATTCTGATTGGTCGTTCATACAGTAATGGATCTTTGACACACTGCACTTTGCCCACATCTCGATCACACCTCCTTCGGATGTGCCACGCCTTGTCATCATTGCATGTCACATAAGTCAGAGTCCGTGTCATAAACTGCTACAGTAATGACCCGACAGAGATCCTGTAACGATGGTGCTCAACCCAACACACCTTCAGCTGATAACCTTCAGTCAGTCACTCCTTATGTCCATCCTCAGTCTGTGCTGCAGGTTAGCTGTTGGTATATCTCTTACTTACATGAACCAACTTATCTGGCCCTATACGGGTCTCATGGACTTGTGCCCTAAGGGTGGGACCATCGTTTCAAAGGACATTTGCACGTACTTAATAATATGGTGCTACAAGGGGTATACTGCAGAGTCCTCTGATGTCATCTGCTGGTTGCAGCACATTGATCTGTGGAGAGTTGTCTTGTTTGAAAGGTACGGTGACGGCTACTACAGATATATTCTTCAATAGAAAGACTAGAAAGCATCTAGTTGCTAAAATATAGATAATATTTTCAGTGGTTTGTGTGACCCATTTAGAGGAATCTTTGTGTATTTTAAGTATTTCCTTTTAATACAGCTTTCTACTAGAGCAGCAGTGATAAGTGAGTAATTAGAAGTAATTACGGTGCTTAATAATCTTTTCTGTAAGGAAATAGTCCTAACGTAAAAGCTTCAACATGGAAAGCAAAATATTTTCTTGATTCTGAAAATATCCAGATCAGCTGAGTATATTTGGATTTGAACTGTTGGGATTTTCATGCCAATCATGTCAAAATAACCCCTGCAAGTCATCGGTTTAATTCATGACTGAAGAATGAATGACAACACATCTTTATATAAAAATATGAGGCATTGCTATGATTGAAATAGATAATTGTTACAATGTCTCATTTAATCTAGATGAATCTGTAATGAAATGTATAATTATCAAAGCATATTAACAATCAGAGAGGTACTCTTCAATATACTGATGTTTTTTTCCATATTGATCCTCGGTGCTGGTTTTTGTAGAATGACACGTTTCAGGGCTTTGATTAATCCGTGTGTGACTCTGTGTTCGACCATCAGAGGGAGCCTGGTCTGAAGAAAGTGTTGTTTCTGTGAGGCCTCAACAATTTGATTAGACCTCTTGAAAGCAATTTGGAATCTGAGTGCCTTGAAAAAAGAAACGCATCCCAGTAGTTATATGGACTTTTCAGTGCTCTACTTTGTTTGACGGCATCATGTTTGAGTCTGGAGCTTGAAAAGAGGATACTTTTTTTGCAGTGTGGTATAATGATGGCCAGAGTGCTTTTAATCAGTAATTTGTTGTAGTCCAGTGCAGCTGCACAGTCAAACTCTATGCAAATTACCTGCATCAGCAGCATCACATGTAATTTGTTATGAAGAAATTCTGACTGGCCCTGCGACCGGCTGGCGACCTGTCCATGGTGTACCCCGCTTCTCACCTTATGGTACCTGGGACTGTTCCAATGAATGTCTTATTTTTTCCACAGGTAGCTACAGTTTATTCCTCACATATGTTTCTGCTGCTAAAGTAAAGAAATGCACAATTTACTTCATTTCAGTCACATTTTCTGAACTCTGAAATGTGAGCTATTATTTCATTTGTTCTTTTTTAGATGTTAAATCTGTTCCAAGCGAGAATAATGGCTCCTGTATCATTTGTAATAAAAAGACAGCATAGAAAAAGAGTCTAAGATAGGGACTGAAAAGGTAGGAATTTCTTTTACTCAGCTCTGAGTTTAGACAAACTGAGCTGAATAATATTGAGCAAGAGAAGATAAGATGTTTGACGCAAGCACTCACTTTTTAACATGATACAGATTCAAGTTTTAAGCCACATAGTGTTTTGTTTATGAGCGTTAATTGTGTTTCAGACACAAAACAAAAGCATAATGCACTATATATGTATATGTATATATATATACGTATATATATATATATATGTATAAATAAACCACCTTCACTGCATTTTCACCACATTTTTGAGATCCACATTGTTGCTTCTGTTATCCAGCGCAAATTTACATTTGTTACAAAAGTATATCAAAAAAAGTAAAGAGCTTATTCAGTGGAGGGTTTTGCAAATGTTTAATATTTTGAAATCAGGCTGTAGAAATGCGGGTCATTGTGTTACTGAAGAATAATTTCAAATAGCATATGCATAGTTCTGTGATTGGGAATGCAGTCGCAGACCTGCAGCATATTATGTTGCTGCAGCAACCGTAATGGGGACAACATTGCTGGCCCTTTAATTTCATTCATGTGAGAAGAGAAGGAGGCAGGTTGCATCTATCGAACAGGCATCTCTCTCACACTGCTACTATTCAGCGGCAAAAAAAAAAAGAGAGAGACAATGACGTCTCAAACCTTGTTGCTGAGACAGCACCGCTTTACTCACACACACTGAGGATACAAACATCCTGAACACATGGTCCCCTCAGCAAAATACAGCATGGACTATAAGGTAGACAGGAGCGGGGGGGTTCTTGTTGCAGTAACTCATAGCAGTAGTAGTGCACATCCTCTGGTAATGTGCGCCATCCCCCCCTGCCTCCTTACCCTCCCGTGGTACGTTCCAGATAGATGTCAGAGGCATTCAAATGAGGAGGATCAGCTCCAGAGGCAGCTAGTGCAACGACAGCTGGCCTGAACCAGGAGGCAGACAGAGCAGAGGGTGGGGGGTCACATACTGGGATGTGAAGGGGAGTTCATGGATCTGCTGGACCAGCTCTTTGTATGTATGACAGGGACAGATTAAGCGAGCAGAGGGTATGACTGTGTGAGTCTGTGAGTGCATTGATGTGAAAGCATATGTACGCGTGTGGGGGGGTTTTCATTTATTTTGCCAGTTTTGACATTTGACTGTTTGAAGTGTTTCTTTCTTGTTTCTTGCCATCCCTCTGTCCTTGTCATCACATTTAACCCATCTTAAAAGGACAGCAGACGCCATCCTGGGCCATTTGCTGTTTGGCATGCTCCATCGCCCTGCCAGGACAGCTTCTCTCTCCCTCTCTCTGTCTCTCTTTCCTCCCTCGGCCCTGCTAGCTGCTGGTTAAGACAGGTTCTGAGGAGGCAGGTACGCTCCACTACCCTCATCCCTTGCAACAAAAAAAAAGCCCAAATAACCCTTTCGCTCTCCTCCTTTTTTCCTTTCTCTTTTTCCCAATCACTGCCACTCTCCTCTGCCTGTCCCTTGGTGGCTTTGTGTAACAGCCCTGAGCAGTGCTGTCTTTAGTGCGCTGAGAAGAATGTGTGTCGATTGATTGTCCCAAAAACTGCTTTTCTCGCGTCTTTTGAGAGTGCTCTAAAGGTGCAACCGTGCAAAGAGAAGCAGCCAGGATCGATAAATTGAGCTACGCCTCCAACCGCAAGACCCTGCAGAATTTTTTTTTTCAAGTCTAGTGGGCATTGAGCTTTTTATAGTTTTGGTATTGCTTTTCTTTATGGTTCAACTGAGAAGTCTGACAACAGTAAAATAAATACAGAGAGGAGATTTGTGAACATGCAGTTTGTGCAGCTGCAGAGACTAAACCATCACTTGGCATAGAAGAACTTTCAGTAATGAGAGATGGTGGCTGATTGATGCATAGCTGGATAGCATCCTTTTTTGTTTATATGACCAGGAGACTGCCCATACAAGTGGTGAGTCGCCAAATTTGGTAATTTAGTTACGCTGAAGTGGTAATCTGCGCCCATCGATGAAAAACAACTGAAACAGTGGTTCCGAGACTATCCACATTTACTCCCCTGACTTATTAATCATACTTGTCCATCACCAGTAATCCTGCCATCTCAGCAGTGCTGACACATGTGCGCTGTGAGAACATACGGCTTCCACTGAGAGAGATTTGCTACAGAGGCTGTGAGTCACTGACGTTTTTTGTGAGCAGAAAGCTGCACAGTCAGTGGAAGAAGGTAGAAAGCATTTGGTGAACCATGGCCTGTGTGGTTGTAGACAGAAAGAGGGGAGGGTGTAGAGGTAAAAGACAGTCAATATACAAATATAACCATCCTGTAATCTTAACTCTGATCGGTCAGGGAATATTAACGCTCTTTGGAAAGTTTTATTCCTGTACAAGGTTGAGAAAAAAGCAGCTCCAGGAGTAGGTTGACTTCCCAGTTATCGTTGCGTCTGTGGTGACTTTTTAAACCATGCTGTAAGACTTGAGCTGGGACCTCTCCATGCTCTGTATTGCTACTGAAATATTCATGTGGTGGAAGTCTCTCTGCAAGCTGATACTATCTGACCTTGTTTTGAGGCAATATGTAGTGACGAGCTGTGAGAGAGCATGTTGCTGCGTTGTCTCATGTTCAAAGTGTTTTTTGCTCTAACACATGTGGTAGAGCCGAGAAACACTTTAAATTGTGTTTTAATTGGACCCTCGTGCACCTGCCTCATAGTGCATTAAAAGCTTCAGCCTGCCAGATTATATATAGTTTAAAGGCAAATGAATTATGGCTGACTTTAATTTTTGAGTGGTTTGCTCTTCTGTTGGGGGATGAGTTGTTATGCAACCATTGATGCTACTGATCCAAATATAGCAGCCATTAGGGGATTAGCTTGGGGTCTGGTAGGCTTGGCTAGGCTCTGCTCTATTGTGGCCCAGCATGCATGTCTTTGCCACTGGTCACCTCCCGCCCTCCGCACAAGTGTCCGCTGTAATCATGATGATTTTGATGTCTCCCAGAATAACAGCGGAGACATATCTTAGGCAACCGCTACGTTTGACAGACTTGCCCTTTCTTAATAGCAGAGAAGCGTCTATGTGTGACTTCAGTTTTCAGCTGAGATTGGAGCATCGCAGCATTTTTTTACTGACTCAACCCTGCTTTTGGAAAGAGGAAGCTGACTTATATGCGCATCAGTATAATTTCTTATTTATATAAATGATTTATTATATATTTATAATTCCATTACGACTAGAGCTGCTATTAACAGCTATTTGTATCAGCAGTTAGTGTGCACTAAAAACTGTCAAAATAGTGGGAAATGATAATTATGGCTTCCAAACTTAACCTGAAGTGAGTATAAAGTACTTAAAATATTAGCTTTCCAATATTGAAGTATAAATATTTTATGAATATTAAAATATCCAGTTCTGTGTGGCATTTTTATGTTTTCTCTGTGTCTGTGTGTGGCCTCTCTGGATATTATTCCCATAGTCCAAAGTTAAGCATGGGGTTATGTCTCTGTGTTAGCCTTGTACCAAACTGGTGACCAGTCCAGGGCATACCCTGCCTCTTGCCCCATGGTAGTTGGGATATGCTCCAGGCCCCCCTGACCCAATTCTTTGTGCTTAATGCAAAAAGGTGCTGAAAATACTCTTCAGAGATGAGCTTGAAGCTTCCTGCCATTCACCTCTGATTTCTGCCATCAACAAGGCATCTCACTCAGAGAACTGCAGCTCACTGGATGTTTTATCTTTTTTGAATAATTCTCTTTAAACACTTGAGATGGTTGTGTGGGAAAATTTCAATAGATCAGCAGTTTCTGTAATACCCAGGCAGTCTGGCACCATCAGCTGTGCTACCTTCATAGTCATTCCAATCAATTAATGAAAAGAAACATTATGGTCATCACTTTCTTTCTGCTTGCATGTCTAAACGCTTTGAGTTGGCCGATTAGATATTTGCATTAACAAGCAGTTAAATCGGTGTTCCTAATAAAGTGTCTGGTGAGTTTATAGTTATGCATAGTGACTCTAACCAAACAAATTGTAAATAAATATGCAAAAAAAACCAGCTTTGCAACTTTCACTTGAGGCTAATTTTGCCATGTTTGTCGACAGCACTATGATGAAAACTTAAACTGGACTGAACCTGCTGAGTGTGTAAGCAGAAAAAAATCTTCAAAATGACATAAAAAAGAAGATTTTACAACCATTTATCTTTAGACTTTCCCAGCACTGATGTGTATTTCAGAGAGGAAGCTATACAAGATGATTCTGTGCATCTCCTAAATCAAATGAATCCGCTTTTTAGTAAATATATATCAAATATCAAAGATCATTTTTCAACACAGTTCAGTAAAAAATGATATTTTATATAAAGGGAAATTGAGTTAAACTCATTCAACTATTACAGGGCAAAACATTATCATACTCAAATAATTAAGAAAAAAGTTTGCGTTTCTCATAATGATCTGAAAAACCTTTTAGCCAGAAATACTGTGCTTGTTTTGACTTTACTCCCTTGTAGTCCATGTGAGTGGGAGTGGGAAGTGCTGATTGGACGGTGTTAAGCAGAAGGTGATAAACTGGTGGTGAGTTGTGGTCCAGCCAATTATTTTACCACCGTCTCTCTTTATAGCAGCCATTTCGCCTACTTCACTGAGTGTTTTTTTTTTTATTAAATAAATTTTAATGAAGCTTTTTGTGAAGTGCTAATCGGCCCAGTTAATTGGCCTCTCTGGTCTCCTTTGCTTTCTCCAAGGAGCAGGCATGCTCAGACATGCTGCGTTAAATAAGTCAAACTTGAGTGCAGACTTTAAGTATCAAACAGTGCGCCCTCTTTGACCTTCTTGTGTGTATGGTCTATAAATGCTGACGGACAACAGTCTCAGTGACAGCCTAGCATGCACAGGATGAAATATTTAGCAGGATGATGAATATTTCAGTGGCAGGTGCATCGTTTCAAGGGGAAGATTAATATCTGTCTAAATATACGCCGAGAGGGGAAAGTGCGATCTCTGTTTTCTTTTGTGCTATAAAAAACAGTTTCCACTCATACCTCTCATGTCCTAAGTCTTTGAATGTCAAGAACCAGCCTCCTTTATTTTCCCCTCTTCAGCTTCCCATGACAACAGGGTTTGTATAAAACTCAAGCCTTGCAATGGCAACAATGGCTTGCATCAGTCGGTGTATGTGCTGATGGGCTCTCCACCTGAATGGCTCATTGTGTCTGAAGGCACAAACAGCCACTGAGCTCAGACCTCCACTGCTGTGTGAAGAGGAACAACAAGCTTCTGCAGATTGTTTTAGTGACTTTGAAAAAGTTTTACAAGCAATCTTATCGGTCCTAACATGCAACATTAAGAGTAAATTACACTGAATCGATACTTTTGCTGAGTGAATAAAAAGCTTTTAGCAGTGGAGCTTCCCTGACTGAGATGTGCATTTTTCAATTTGTAACAATGCATTACCTCATGCTCAAAAGCTTTTTAACAAACCACCGAAACCTTTATAATTTGATAATTCTGAGGAGCCTAGAAAAAAGTAAACGTCTTAGACTCTGACAGTAAATCTTTAAATCAAAGCGAGCAACACTTTATAACAGCCCGCAACTAAGGCTAAAATTCCCCTGTAATTAAATGGACATTCAGTGTGTTTTATTTGAAGTCAAAATGTAGTTTTACAGTTTTACTGTAAAGAAAGAAATAATTATACTGTAAATAAATTTAAGTAGTGCACATGTCATTTTTAGTAATTCATAATTTCCCGGTAATTTAGCAAAAACCAAAAATGATTGCGCCATCTTTTTGGGGTGCAGGCTGTATTATGGAGTAGCATAACCTTGCCTAACTTTCAGGTATTTTACAGAATGGGAGACAAAAACTTTAATGTAGGTAAATTTAAGTACAACATAACTCATTTTAAAATGTTATGTTTCTTAGTAATTTTGATGGAAAACAATATTTCCAATCCTACATTTACGATGCATGATGAAGTTTCTATTGCTCATTTGTTCTTTTTTACTTATGATGTACTTAAAATTACTTACATTATAATATGTGCCTCCTTTCCTGCAAAATATCCAGAATTTGGGTAAGGTTAAGCTACTCCATAATACAGCCCGTGTGCCCAAGAGTACAGTTTATGATGTAAGATGGGGAAATATTTGTTGTGTTTTCCAATAAGTTACCAGGATATTAATTATTTGTAAGTAAATATAATCACATTGCAATTTCGAATTAAATACAATTAAATTTAATTACGCCATTAGTCATGGGCTGTATTATAAAATATTACCCTAAATGGAAGCAAGTTCCTATTATCATGCACACCAATGACAAATTATTTCCTACAGGTTATTAAAAATGCAGCACAGGCAAAGACATGATATAAAGATAAACAGCAAACATTAGCCCCATGTGCTCCACTCAGTGGGTTGTTTCTTCTCTTCATACTGTAATTAGACCATTATTTACTGAAGTCTCGAAATAAGGCTCCTGAGAATATGTTATCACAGAAGAGAAACTGCTCAGCGCCTACTTTCTTTCCCTATTTATCTGCAGTTGATCTCCGTGGTACCCGCCACCTCCTCACTTCCCAGCATTCCTTGCCTGGGATCCCTGTGGCCTTGAAACAATCCATTGACCTACGTACTTCCATGGATGGAAAATACAAGGAGATTGCCGAAGTCAGTGTTCAGCCACTGTGCAAATAATTAACCAGTGATGTTCAAAGTTACGCCGTGGCTTTCATTTTTCTTTGTCTCTGTCTGAAGGAGCTGTTCTCACGCAGCCTGGCAGAGAGCGAGATGCGGAGCGCCCCCTATGAATTTCCAGAGGACAGCCCCATTGAACAGCTGGAGGAGAAACGTCATCGCCTTGAGCGACAGATCAGCCAGGATGTCAAGTAAGCGCGAGGGGCAAAAGAGGTATTTGACTTTGCAGTCAGACTATGAACTCAACTCGGCCTTTGTGTTTGTGATCTCAGGTTTGAACCTGACATACTCCTACGAGCCAAGCAAGAGTTCATGAAGACTGACAGTGCCACAGATCTTGAGTGAGTCAACCGTAGTCACATGAACCCCTCAATGCTCATCTTAAACTGCCAGAATGGTGATCTCATATGTTTATTTATCTATCGTAAGATACATGAAGGAGCAGAGCCAAATTCCTGACCTGCAGGAGAGAGAACCGGTCCCTGAGAGGGAGTACCAGCGAGTCACTATTTCTGGAGAAGAGAAATGTGGGGTAAGTCAGAGTGGTCACTGCAGGAAGACTGTGTGTGTGTTTTTTTCTCTTACAGTCAAATCTTTCATGAAGACATCTGTTTTTCTGTCCTAGGTTCCATTTACAGATCTGCTGGATGCTGCCAAATGTGTAGTGAAGGCTCTGTTCATCAGGCAAAAGTACATGGGCCTGTCGCTGCAGAGCTTCTGCAGAACCACTGCTCGTTACCTGCAGGAGCTGAGTGAGAGACCCCTAGACTTAGATATCTATGAGGAAGAGATCCCAGAAACCACAGTCACTGCAAGTATGAATGTCCTCATCTGCACCATTGCTCTTGCATCATTTTATACTGTAATCTAAATTAGTCAAAACAATATTTATTTAGTATACCCCACAGGTTCTGAGTCTGTTGTTACGGGCCATCAGGTCCTTTTACAACCGGGGTGAGAGTGTTGTCTGTGTCCTCGCCACAAAGTCAGGCACGTTTTCAGTCTGTGTTGGACTCTGCCTGGTTTTCCCCTTGTCTCAGATTCTGTAGCTGGGGTAAGGAGGGTGTCTGCTTTGGAAACCTGAGAAAAGCATCCTGCTTTTTGCAGTTGATGTGGTTTTGTTGGCTTCATTGGAGCATGACCTTCAGCGTGCACTGGAGTGGTTTTCAGCCAAGTGTGAAAGGGACAGGATGAGAGTCAGAACCTCCAAAATGCAGGGCACGGTTCTTTAGTGGAAAATAGTGCAGAGCTCAGAGTTGAGGAAGGGACTGGCCTGAAAAGGAAAAATGATTTACCAGAAGACACCCCCCCACCCCCAAAAAAGAAAAAAAACATATGGTCGTGCATCCTGGGTAATTACTGGAAGAGTAAGGTCATATAGATATATAGAGATAGGGAGAGGTACTTGGACATCCAGAGGGAGTTTGGTGTTGAATTACTATTTCACAATGTTAAAATGAGCCAGTTGGGGTCATTTGGATATCTTGTTAGGGTGCCCCCCTAGATGTGGGTTTTAAGACCCAGAACCTTACCTGAAGATCATATATATCTCTGGCCTGGGACCAAATTGTGACCTAACTTCTGATAAGGAGAAGGAAGGAAGGAAGGAAGGAAGGAAGGAAGGAAGGAAGGAAGGAAGGAAGGAAGGAAGGAAGGAAGGAAGGAAGGAAGGAAGGAGGGAGGGATGGATGAACAGATCTTTTTTAAACCCATGATTAAACTAGATTTTATCAAGTAAATAAGGAACATGTTACGGTTCAAAATGTTAGGAGTCTTTGTATGTCAATGTGTTATTTAATGTAAATGTCTGTCTTTGTAAATTTAGGTTATCTGGTTTATTAGACTAAAAAAAAGAAATGTATGTGTTTTTTCATTTTTTAAAATATTTCAATACAAATCAAAGCTGTTATTTATTTCATAACAAATTTGACCCAGGAGATTTAACTGCAGGATAATTTCAGCTCAGTCTTGAAGACAATAATAATTACCAACAGTTTTTTGCACCTGTGTTCTTGAGTGCTCTACTTAGGCTATTCTTGCTCAGAAATATTTGGTAATCTGTGCAATTCTCTCATATTAAAACATAACCAGGGACACCCACAGATCTCACAATCCATCTGTTGCAGGCTGTCACAGCATGTAGGCAGTTAAAGTCAGACCATAGCTGCACTTGCTTGCCCACCTTGAACAAAGTCGTGACACACTGGATCATTCTGTCTCCTCTTAGATGCCACAGTGCACCCACCTGTTTCTGAAACACACCCCTATGAGAACGTGGACCCCACCAGCATGCCCCCTGATATGGGTTACGGCTGTAAGATGGTGGATGGTGTTATGCACTTGTACACGACGAGGAACACTATGGATAAGTGAGATATCTGTCGGGAATCTTTTACTTTCTGCACACATGCTTCGTCCTCACCGTGACTAGATTCATGTCTGTTTTTAGACTTGAGTTCACACATTTTGCTTGAGGAAAGAGTGTTTTAGTTGTTATGTTGCCTACAGGACCACAGAGCTGGATCTGCCGTATCCAGACCTGCAGGAGTACATCGCTGATATGAACGTCATGATGGCTCTCATTATAAACGGGCCAGTGTAGGTTTCCCACATTTTAAATAAATTATTAATTTAACCTTATAGTTAAAAAATAGATTCTCAAAAAGGATCAACAGAAGTTTATTTTCAGACTGTCACAGAAAGAGTCCATCATTTGTCTTTCTTTTGGCTTTGCCACAGAAAGTCCTTCTGCTATAGACGTCTGCAATACCTCAGCTCCAAATTCCAAATGCACATCCTGCTCAATGAGATGAAGGAGCTGGCAGCACAGAAGAAAGTCCCACATCGAGACTTTTATAATATCCGTAAGGTGAACTTGAGAGCTTTTCTGTTTCACCCAGTCATGGTTAGTGTTGTTAAATCCAGAAGCAGACTGCAGTATCTTAGAGGGTTTATGTTCCCTGTTTGTCTGACTTGTTCCACAGGTTGACACGCACATTCATGCTTCCTCTTGTATGAACCAGAAGCACCTTCTACGTTTTATCAAAAGAGCCATGAAGAAGTATCCCAAAGAGATTGTACACGTGGAAAGAGGCAGGGGTCAGACACTGATGGAGGTGTTTGAGAGCATGCACCTTACAGCCTTTGACCTGAGTGTTGACACACTGGACATGCATGCAGTGAGTAGTGCCCATAAAGGAGACTTTAAAAAAAGGTCTTCAGAGGTGCTGCCTGGTCAGAGATTGTGACTCCGTATTTCACCTTTTTATTGCAGGATCGTAACACTTTCCACCGATTTGACAAATTCAATGCCAAATATAATCCCATTGGCGAGTCCATCCTGAGAGAGATCTTCATCAAAACGGACAACTACATTGAGGGGAAATACTTTGGTCACATTATTAAGGTGCTCACTGTATGCACAAACACTTGAAGTTGCAAACACTTGTTTCTTACACAGACCAGTCGTTTCTGGTACCTGGAGGCGGACTCTCTGGGCTTTGGCGCCCTCTGGCTGACTTGGTGTGTCTCTTCTTCTCAGGAGGTGATGGCCGACTTGGAGGAGAGCAAGTACCAGAACGTGGAGCTCAGGCTGTCAATCTACGGCCGCTCCAGAAACGAGTGGGACAAACTGGCCAGATGGGCAGTCAAACATCAGGTCTACTCCGACAACGTGCGCTGGCTTGTCCAAGTGCCACGACTCTTGTGAGCTTAAAAAGAGTAGCAAACTGAATTAAATAAACAACAATGAAAAAGCAGTCCCCTCTCTCTTTAGAGCAGATTTTAAGTAAGCTAATAAAAACTGATGATACTTGCACTCCCTTATTGCTAAGCTACTCGACGTTACGTGAGATTTGTAAATATAAATGTGGTGTTGTGATATATCATGTGACAAAAATTGAGTGATAAAAAGAAGAGTAGCAACGTAACTAAGTTGTCATGCATCTTCTCCATTAACAAAATGTTTTGTATTTTACCGCAGAACTACTGCAGAAAGAGACAGTAAAAAGAAAATAGTCCCTATATTAAACGGTTTTGGCTTCTTTTTTTTTATAACTGGAAAATGCCTGAAAAGAGACACTGTTTCGATTTTTACTGTGTTTAGTTTTTGTTGTTTGTTTTTGTGTCATTTATATAACTTATACTGAAAACTAAGCATTTCCATGTATCTAGCAACTCTGACACAAATCCAAGTCAACATTATGAATGATCCTTCTGTAAATATCTATTGAATACATGAGTAAAATAAAGATTTGATATCTATTATTTCCTCAACCCATTCGTTAGTTATCTCCCCTGTAGGCTTCTTGAATTGTTTTCTTGTTTCTTCAAAGTGACGTCTACCACACGAAGAAGCAGCTGTGCAACTTCCAAGAAATGCTGGAGAATATCTTCATGCCTCTGTTTGAGGTTACGGTCGACCCCAGCAGCCACCCAGAGCTGCACCTCTTCCTTCAGCACGTACGACATCTAAGCTTTTTTTGGTCATTTGCTTTTACTGCAGTCACTTTTTGGGTAGTCGTTTTATTGATCTGCTCTTCATCCCTCAAACAGGTTGTGGGTTTCGACAGCGTGGATGATGAATCAAAACCAGAGCAACATATCTTCAACCTGGACAGTCCGCTCCCAGTCAACTGGACAGAAGAGGACAACCCGCCCTATTCCTACTACCTCTACTACATGTATGCAAACATGACTGTGCTGAATCACCTGCGCAGGTACATAAATCAGACTTTACTTGATCTGACTGCCTGAGATTTTTGATCCATGATTGTATATTTTTTGTGTTTTTAACATCAGTTAGACAAATAAATCAATCCTTAATGTGTCATTTGAGCTATTAGCATTTTGTTTTTTTTGTTATAGTTATTAGTATCTTGGTCTTTGATAGGAATAGGTGAAGATTTTTAATGCATTTGTAAAAGGAAGTGTTAAAAATTTCTTTCCTTGCAAAAAATGCCCACTTGCAAAATTTTGTTAACCTTTTGTCAAGGTTTGTCAACCTTTGTTTTAACCACAAAAAGACAGTTTTTGTAAAGCACATGCAGCACATCAATAATAAAGATTAATAACATTATTGGATAAAAAGGCGAAAAGCCTGGATTTATCTCATGTGAATTAAGCTCGAAAAACTTTGATAACAAATGCAAATTCTGTTTCGACAGTGCTTAAGGTTACAGACCAAATAATACACACTGGAGATTCGCACTTTGCTTTTATCTGTCATCTTCTTTGTATATGAGTCACTGTGAAGCAGCAAAGAGTGTTTGCGCTGAGCCCTAACACAGCTGAACTCAGCGCTCACTATTGTGTGGCTTTATTGTTTTAGGCTGCGGGGGTTCCACACACTCGTCCTGCGTCCTCACTGTGGCGAGGCAGGGCCGATCCATCACCTGGTTTCTGGTTTCATGCTGACCGAGAATATCTCCCATGGGCTGCTGCTCAGGAAGGTGTGACCTTCAACAGCTGTTGAGCAGCTGTTTACCTCACATACAGGGGAGCTTATTTTTCCAAGAGTTTATGAAGGCCTCAGATTATAGATTATTATTATTAGATTTTATTTATTATGTATTATGTTTCTTCCTTATAAGATTTTGGAAATTTAGACCTGATGTATTTCTGATGCTTTGGTCATCATTGTGCCATGTTTTCTTCCCAGGCTCCTGTGCTGCAGTATCTATACTACCTAGCCCAGGTAGGCATCGCCATGTCTCCTCTCAGCAATAACAGCCTGTTTCTCAGCTACCATCGTAACCCACTACCAGAGTACCTGTCCAGAGGCCTCATGGTCTCTCTGTCTACAGATGACCCTCTGCAATTTCACTTTACCAAGGTAAGTCAAACATTTAATAACATGCTTTAAACCTCCACCTTCACTAAGTCATAAATCCACTGTAAAATCCTAACTAAGTAAAGTAACTAAGTCAAAATGTATCTCTATAGCACATTTTGAGATAAACCTCACAAGAAAATAATTTTTAAAAAAAGAGCAAGCACAAGTCTAAAAAGAAAGAGACCACTGAGTCCACAGATCTCCAGCTCGGAGGGAGAGAATCACCAAGCCTGGGAGCCACTGTTGGAAAAGCTCTGTGCTTTGCAGACACAGGAACCAATCAGAAACAAGCTGCTCATGATTGGTAGATTCATATTCAACAAATCCAGACTTGTTATTTCAGTTTGGCATAAAAAACACACCCGCTGTATCACTATATCTCCCGTGTGTGTGTGTGTGTGTGTGTGTGTGTGTGTGTGTGTGTGTGTGTGTGTTCTTCATTCTGATGCACTTCAGCTCCAGGTTTTGCTTTTTTAAACTACTTTTTAAAAACAGGCAATTTCAACAAGTGATGTTTATTTTAGGTACTTTTTGGGGTTTATTTATTACAATATTCAGTTTTTGGTAATTCTACCCTCTCTCAGTGTTCACTCCTTTTCTACTTCTACGCTTAACCTTGTTTATATTTTGGTCTTCTAATGTAATTGAGCTGGTTCACCAAATTCAGCTTTGGCTATTTCAAATAAATTTTAAGCTCTTCAGACAACATCTTTCAACTAAATTAAATTTTCAAATTTAACTTTGCATTTTCACTACAAAATGCTTTTATATAATTGTCCGCATGTATTTTTTTAGGAGCCATTGATGGAAGAGTACAGCATTGCTGCTCAAGTGTGGAAACTGAGCTCCTGTGACATGTGTGAGCTTGCCAGAAACAGTGTACTGATGAGTGGATTTTCTCATAAGGTATACATTTTTTGTTGCATATCACAAATTCTGGTGTTCGCAGAGTGTTTAATATGACATTTGTGGGGGTTTTTTTTAAATCAGGCAAAGCGTTACTGGCTGGGCCCAAACTACATTAAAGAGGGACAGGAAGGCAATGACATCAGGCGAACCAACGTTCCTGACATCCGTGTCGCGTACCGGTACGAGACCATGTGTGAGGAGCTAAATTTAATCACACAGGCCATTCACACAGATGAGCTGGAGACCATCAGAGAGGAGGGAAGTCTTTGTATGGGAGCTGTGCAGGTGGAGAAGTGACCGTGCTGCACAACACAAACAAAATTCTCACCACATTCCCTGTTTTTACATCAGGACATTGCACAGATTTACATGTAAACATATCACATCATGTAAAAAGAGAAAAGCTATGCTACAGGAAGATAATGAGAGCTGCTGGTAGCCAATATCAGGGAGAGAATTTATAGTCTGTGCACCCAAGGTGTTTGCTTCTTTTAGTTTTTTGAGTCCCGCTTTCTTTATGTTATCACAGTAATTAGAATTTCATAACATCTTTTGTTCTTTATTTTGTTTTGTTTTTTTAATGGTTTGTGACCATATCGTGTCATATTTACATGTTTGTACAATGCAATTCTTCCTGTAGCAGATTTGAGTAACATTCACATTCAAAATTTTAATCAACTCATAAAAAATACACTGGATCCAACAAAGAATCAAGACTCCAGCGTAACGCCATGCAGGTCTCTTTTAGGCCTTTCGTGCAATTTAAGTGAACCAAGATCAACTGTCTTGAGAATCCGTAAAAGGCTTAAACTATTAAGAAAGGAGAGGGCATAGAAACTATTCAACTATGTCTCAAAAGTAAGGCTGTTGGCGGGTGTTCAAGGCACCAGTAATGCAGGCCATACAGAGGATACGTGGATGACTGGAAATGTACTGAAGAGTGTTGCGTAAGAGTCCCATGGAGAGTAAACTAAAGTTGACCAAATAGACGTGGAAGGCTGCCAGAGAAATGGAGCAGATGAACTCCCAGGATTTTATAACCTGAAATAACCTGAACCTTAAACTTAAGCAAAGCAGGATACAGCAAGAATTCATATTACTTTTAGACCAACAAAATAAACTACGCCTTGCAGTCGCAGTGAAACCTGAGGAAAGAGTTAAACACCAGCGTGGACTCAAGGACAAACTGATTAGAATTCAGTGGTCAAAGATTAAAGTCATCGTGACTTCACAAATTCACTGGTCCTTGGTTCTTACTTTAAATTACTTCAAAATCCACACATCCACAGTATTAGTAAAAGCAAATTTGCATCTACAGATTGTGGTTTGTGTAACAAGTTGAGCTGCAGCAGACATGCCCTTTTTATGAACAGCTGATTGATTTTGACTGAATGGGGTCACACGCGTTTCCAGTCACACTAACTTAATTATTATTGGGTTATTTGAGACTTAGATGTTCAAATATAATTTTAACTTGAGTGTTTCTTGGCAAATGATTATGTAGCTGCTAGTCTAGTCAGGGGGGTTTGATCTGTTTATAGCGAGTCTGTCAGAGTTTATTAAAAGTTTAACCTGCTTCAGTAACATTTTTGTTTCCTTGTAGAAAAGGAATTCCCCCCGAGACGACAGAAACTTAAAATGCTAACACACCCATTCCTAAATTAACAGCCAAATAAATTACAAATATTACTTATTGTTTAATAGTTTCTGAAATCATTACATTTACTAAATCATGACATTTGTAGTGAATCGGTTCAGCATCCGGTACAACAGCCTTTTAATAATGTCCGTAGTAAAAATGACGAACTTGGTTGAATTGTTTTAGGTATATGGTTGACATTTCTGCTATAATTACCCACAGGACCTTATGCAGGGTAACTAGCTTAAAAAGTCTCAGTCTTCAGATAGTTTTACTGTTATTTTAGCAGTCATTTCAATGACTCAGTGCAGTGAGAGCACATAAGCATTTGTGTGCAGTGACGCTTCTCATTTGTATTATACTCCTAGTTTGTGACATTGTTTCTGGCAGTCTAAACTTAATTATGGTACCATCTGTCCTTTACATTAAGTTATTTCTGAGTAATAGTACAGTGAGTGGTGCATGCTGATCCCCTCCCTCGGTGTTCCCTCCCTGCACAAGTTCAACCATTGCCAAATCAACAAAAAGTCATTTTTATACAGAACTGAGAATCTGCTAACTTGACAAACTCCTGCCTTCAGTTTAGGTCCTGGTGTCGTCAAACGGCTGCTTGTTGCTATTTCAAAAGCACTGTGTGTCCTCCCACAGAAACATGTGTGTGGTTTGTGTTCAGTAAAGCTGTTTGTGTCTGTAAAAAATAAACCTTATTTGCATTGGAGTGATTTCCTCTTTTCAACAGGCAGAGCAAATATGGTAAATATGTGGGATTAATAAGATGTTGAGCAGGGGTAGGAGTTAATAAGTATGTGCATACTTCTTCCTACTCCTTTTCAGACCAGACAACTGTTATCTCATGTTAGACGAATGTGTTTTATTTTATTATATTTTCTTGTTTGTCTGTACAAATACGTGTGTGTGTGTGTATATCTACACATATATTCATATTCGTAAATGAAAATACATGTAGACGAGTATATATTGGGGTTTTTTTTGTTTGTTTTATTATGTCTGAAATAAATAAAGATACAAATACAGATACAAATACAAATGCATTTGGTTCTCAAAAGTAACAAACATGCAGCACGTCACTTGATTAAGAACATGGGAGTAAGAAGTGCTTGCGTCAGTAGCTGATAATCATGAGTAAAAGACATGAAACAAAGAGCACTTTGTTTTCGTGCCCAGCTCGTCCCCCCTCCCTGTGCGTCAGAGTGAGCAGCAAGTTCAGCACAAAACTCTCTGTATCGCTATATTTTGCTTTCGGACATTTTGCATGTGAAAATCCACATGATTTGAAGATATGCAAATAGCTTGTTTATTATACAATCAAAATATGTCTGATAATAAGGTATTTTAGTTTAACAAAGGAGTGATGTTCTGATGAAGACAACAACAGAAAGCTCTTGAAAATGTAGCTATTAGACCATAACCTTTTGAAAATGAAATTTACATAAAGAAAGCTACTTTGAACTGCTTCCTTATTCATAAGGGGTGCCCACAGCAGATACAGTGCATCCTGAAAGTATTCACAACGTATCTCTTGTTCCACATTTTGTCATGTTACAGCCTTATTTTAAAATGGATTCAATTTTATTTTTCACTTTAAAATTCTGGACACAACACCCTATGATGACAAAGTAAACAAAGGCATCCAAGAAAGAGTCTCCAGTGTGACGAGTTGGACAGCACCATATCCTTCTTTTTCAAGTTGTATCATAAGTTTACACTGAACTTTTCTAAAAGCAGAACATCACTGTTGCTTTATGTCCACGGTAAATTATGCATGAATTAGCTTTCTGATCTTCAGACTTCTCTGTATCAGAGCCGGCAAGAGGCATAAGCAGACTAAGCAGACTACAGACTAAGTCTGCATTAAAATATCTCAGGGATTAAAGTTTACACTGATAGAAAGGGCAGTTTCACTGGTCCACAAAAGGTCAAAGTGGGCTGTTGTGTGGCCCACAACATGAAACAAAAAGGGGGTTTGACATTCCTGTGCTAGATTTATAATACAGAAATAAACAATCATGGGCAATATAATATATATATAATATAATATGGGCTTTAGCTGAGGTTGGGGGTGCTAATTCAAATTCTGCTTAAGGCTGTAAAACCATAAAACCTTGGACTGGCTCTGCTCTGTGTAATGAGTCCAAATATGTTGTCATGGTCCAGAGACTCAGTGGTTTTGGTTTTGATTATTATCTTATGTTTTAGGTTCATTCTTGTTGGGAATTTCTTAGTATCAGGTTTTGTTTCAGTTTTGTATTTCGAGCTCCTTTTGTTCTGTGTCTCTGTGCCTGCCCTGGTCCCACATCTTTGTGTTCCCTCCCGGTTGCCATGTCTTGTGTTAAGCTCATGTCTGTGCATACCTGTTGTATTTCCTGTTTTACTTTGAAGGTCCTTGTCTTATGTCAGTGTGTTCAGGTTACGTTTCCCCTGTCTCGTCAGCTCTGATTTCTCACAACTGTTGCCCTCCTGTATCCCATTCCCTGATTGCCCCTGTGAGTATATAAGCCCTGTGTTTTCTGCTGCTTGTTGCTGGTCCATCTGTGTTGTCGCCGCCATGTGTAGGTTTCAGGTCAGTTTTGTTAGTTTTCTCAGTTTAGGTTTTTCCTAGTTTCTCTGTATCCTCTTTGCCTCACTAGGTAAAGCTCACTCACTGCATCTGCGTCAGTGCCTGCGTTTGGGTCCTTACCACAACCCCACACGTCTGCCATCGCAGCCGTGACATATGTCGACTCACCATGACTCAGCTGTGTCTGAATAAAACGAAAAGTCTCACATACAAGATTCAAAGTTGGCTTACATGAAGTGGATTTATAAATCATAATTTAGCCCATCCATATCCATGGATGCACTGTGCCCGGCATGTGCAGAGGCGGGGGCGGAGGGGGCTTGAGCACCTGTCCCTTTCCTCTTATGGTTCCAAGTGCTGTCACCGATCTTTGCAATACAGAGGAGAACTTCACCCCTGAAGTGAGTCACACTACTGTTGAAGACAGCAACACAGCTGTCACAGCTGCAGAGCTTAGTGTGAAGGTTTCGACACAAACCACAGAGGCTCCACACACACTCTTCAGACTTGAAAACCACTAGATTCAATTCAATTCAATTCAATTTCATTTATATAGCGCCAAATCACAACAAAAGTCGCCTCAAGGCGCTTCATAGATACAGAGAAAAACCCAACAATCATATGACCCCCTATGAGCAAGCACTTTGGCGACAGTGGGAAGGAAAAACTCCCTTTTAACAGGAAGAAACCTCCGGCAGAACCAGGCTCAGGGAGGGGCGGGGCCATCTGCTGCGACCGGTTGGGGTGAGAGAAGGAAGACAGGATAAAGACATGCTGTGGAAGAGAGACAGAGGTTAATAACAGATATGATTCAATGCAGAGAGGTCTGTTAATACATAGTGAGTGAGAAAGGTGACTGGAAAGGAAAAACTCAATGCATCATGGGAATCCCCCGGCAGCCTACGTCTATTGCAGCATAACTAAGGGAGGATTCAGGGTCACCTGGTCCAGCCCTAACTATATGCTTTAGCAAAAAGGAAAGTTTTAAGCCTAATCTTAAAAGTAGAGATAGTGTCTGTCTCCCGAATCCAAACTGGAAGCTGGTTCCACAGAAGAGGAATATGATACCATATTTCTAAGGAACTAGAGAAGCTGATTTGGAGGTCCAATGTAAAAAACAGCAGGAGGAGATCGAACAACACCACGAGCAGCTCCTCAAAACTCAAATCTAGAAGAAGAAGTTGGAAAACACAAAAATAAGAACAAAGAGCCCACTGTGAGTTTGCAGAGCTCAAAGCAAAACTCTGCGCCAGTGAGGCTCTTTCCAAGAAAAAGGATTTGAAGGTCCAAAACCGAAAATATGAGTTGGAAAAAACCAAAGCTTCACATCGAAGCAAAACCAGGAGAACACAAACATCAAAAACCAACTCCAGAAAACAGAATCAGAATCAGAATCAGAAAGGGGTTTATTGCCAAATGTTGAGCAGGTTTACAACATTAGGAAATTGCTGCGGTGCTTCAGTGCAAACATAGTGTCATAAATAGCACTTAAATAGACATGAAAAAATAAAAGTAGAATAAGAATTAAAAGTGCTACGTAGAAAGATATGTGCATGAGATATACATGAGATATATACATGAGAATAAGAATTAAGAGTGCTACGTAGAAAGATATATACATGAGTGCAGGTGGTGATCAGTGCCAAACATGGAATGATGCAGTGACACAGCGTAGGGTCATGTGTTAGGGGTGGGAACAGTCATACGGTTATTGTTCATGTGTCCAACAGCAGAGGGGAAGAAACTGTTCTTATGGCGAGAGGTTCTGGTGCGAATGGACCGGAGCCTCCTGCCTGAGGGGAGCAGGTCAAACAGACTGTGTCCAGGGTGAGAAGGGTCAGCTGAGATCCGAGCTGCACGCCGCAGTGTCCTGGAGGTGTACAGGTCCTGCAGAGATGGGAGTCTGCAGCCAATCACCTTCTCAGCAAAACAGAAAACAGAAAAACAGAAAAAGAAAAAATCTTACTTCAGGAGTCTTTGCAGGCTCTGCAAGACACAAGAAAGAAACAAGAAAATTAATCCAACATTGCCAAACAAGACAATTCTCAAGCCCGGTATGAGACAGTACAGCAGTCAAGTTCAGAAAAAGAGGCCAGTGTTAACAAACCAGATCAAAACGAGACACTCCAGGAGAATCAGCAAGATTCTCTTACCCATAAAAAATCGCACCCATAAAAAATTACCATCGACCAATCAAGTAAAACAATTCGATTACCAAAACATCTGAAGTGTGAACATTTAATTTTGTTTTATTTAAAGAGTATTTAAAATGTTCATGTCCATTACAATAAATTAACAGCAGAAATAAATATGTTTACAGCCTGGTTAAAAACTTTGTTCTGTGAATAATAGCCACTGTATCTGTATCAAGTAATATGCTTTGCTCAATGGTTCATGGCATTATAATAATCATGGATTATTCTAATTATGATATTAAAAACACACACACACTGTATTTTAAAGAAAATACATTAAGAAACAGATTATATTAGATTCATATTTCAAAAGAGTCAAAAGGCTGATTTTACAGCAGCAACATTATTGTATCTCTACGATTTAAACATTTAATAAGCTTTCTGCCTTGCGCAGAATGGATAGCCAAACAAATTGAATCATCATAAATACATTATTTTATATGTATTACTTTTTGTTGTTGTTGTTGTTGTTCTTATTACTTTGTTATTTTAGCACTAGGAATTGTCACAGCTAGCGGGGCGAGCCGTGTGTAATTTATTAAAGGACCCAAGATGCAGGCACTAGTGATGTGAGTGGGCTTTTATTGAGGAGGATGACGTACAACAAAAGGCAAAGGATGGCGAGAACAGACAAAACCTAACTGGGAAAACTAAGAATAAAACAAATCTGAAACCTAGAGACACAAACGGAGATGCAGGGAGACGTAGACAGATGCAGGGGAACCACACAGGATGACGGAAGGAGATAACGCAGACGAACAAGGAAAGGCAGGAGAACGCACAGGGCTTAAATACTCACAGCAGTAATCAAGGGATGAGAGACAGGAGGGGAACACACCGGGGAGAAATCAGAGCTGACAAGTAACCTGAACACACTCACATGAGGCAGAGACTTTCAGAATAAAACAATGAACTTAACAGACAGATTCACAAGCAGACACAGGG